TGAAATGACGCAGCGCAATGCGGCCGCTGAATAATGTTTCTGTTTTTTCAGAGACCGGAGTCATGGCGGAGAGAAAAACTGCTTGTGATTGAATAGCATTTATATTATGTAGCTTTTCTATTTAATGCACGTATTTTCAACAAACTAGTGTGTCTAGAGCTGGAAATATAAAATGTATAATCTCTTTGGCACCAGAGTTGAAGTTTGGCAGGTACATGATACCACATACTGAGAGCAGCACATTTAAATGTGTTCATCAATCATGAATTGGTTAACAACTGTATTGTTATAGCACGTTAACAGGGCTTAAATTAAAGGCCTATAAAATAATGGATTTATTTATGCTCTCAGTTTAACGGCCAAAGCTCAGTAGCATTTTCTGTGAACCTGCGGCTACTTAACTTTAACTCCCTAAATGTGCTCTTTATTAGGTTTAGAGCAAGAAACAGTGGAAACTGTAAGCATGGCGTAATGACAGGGAAGAACTGAATCAAGCCTCTGAGGGACTGCTCACTTGTGTCTACACATGTCATTCATTTCAGAACAATCTACATTTTACAACAAACATTAATCAGTTTACTTTTCTGCATCAATCAACCATTGGAAAAAAAAGAGCTCTCCATAGACTCTTTATTTTTATGTCATAATAGTGTCAACCATTGTTAAAGCAATTATGAAAATGTTTTGAGTTTTACAGAAAGGCAGCGCCACATAAGGACTGCTCACTGGCAAGTCTCTGCACAAAGGCCTCTTTGATCCACTCTCAAGCCTCTCCTTCAGGCCGGGGGAAACTCTTCGGGCTTATGGCTGCGTTCAGGAGCGTGGACGCTGTCACGTGTAAGTGTAGGATCACTAAGACTTTCAGACATGACACCTCACTGTCAGAGAGGTACAGCCATACTGCTGCGTAAGTGCTGTAAAACTTTTGTGATAAGGGACAATGCCCCACACAGGTTGCATTCTCACACATTGTGTTCAACAGTAATATATTTAAAGGGGACCTATCATGCAAAATACACTTTTTGATGTCTTTTATACATAAATATGTGTCCCCGGTGTGTCAGGGAACTCACGCAGCATCAGAAAATAAAACCCTCTCTCTTTTCCTCCGTACCCAAATCTCTAAAAACGGGGGTACAACGGAGCTGATCCAGATTTGCGTCCGATATGACGTAATATCGGAAATGTAGGTTGGCTTTACACCCACGGCCCTATCAGAAACGTCGCTATCAGAAACAATGCCCGACTGTTTTGGACGTAATATGGTTGGTGCATGTTTTTTTTTAAAGCTTTATATCCCAAATCAGCACTTTTGAAACAGGAAGGTAAATAGAGGGGTATGAGGCATGGCTAGAATGGCTGATCTGTTTGGTATTTTGAGCAAAACACTTCATAGACATATATTTTATATATTTTTATATATCTGAGACCTATGCTATTGCCTAAAAATAGCATGATAGGGGCACTTTAAAGAATGTCTTGTTGGAACTTTCTCTATATATGATTTGAAAGGTGAAAAAAACAAGATAAGGGCATTAGATTAGAGTTGCTCACTTCAAAATCAAGAAATGGAGGATGTGTTTAAATGTGCTCTCTTGGGAAGGCTTTTTAAATTCACAAAACAACCAAATATGATTTACCGGTAATTATAATATATAATATATAAGGGTAATGTTAAGAGGAAATGTTTGACTGTCTTTAACTCACACTCAGAGTGTTCAACGTTTAACCATCAGTTGGATTTAGTCACATTCAGTCTTCTTTTGAACAAACTTTGGTTTATCTCTACAAGTGTTTTAAATGTATTTTTTAAATGGATAAAACACTAAGTACTAAGTTTTGATTATGTAAGATATTTACTTTGACATTTTAAAACAAATCATCCAGCTAGAAACAAACCGTATTGAGCAGTTTATATATGGAAGTGACTGTTCATCAGCTTTCTGCATATGAAAGTATATTTAAAATATATATTAAACCCATTAATATAGTGAATGTCACTTTGATACCTTCGGATTGTCCAAGCAAACCCAGATCAGAGTGCACTTTGGAGCTTTCTGAAGATCATGTGTGTTGCTGCAAGGTATTTCTTGCTGATCACGTGAACTATCCAGGAAAACAATCTGTGAAAACCTGAACTGCACCCTCAGGTTCTTTTTTTCTTTCTCCGAGTCAGTGTGACCTGCAGTTAGGTCTCAAGAGCTTGATGATGAATGAACTCTATAGAGTTTAGTGTACTACTGCACAGAGCTTCTGAGCCCCAGACAGGGTCTTTAATGCCTTTAATAAGATGGGGACAAAGCCCTCTTTCTTCCTTGTTTAAAGAGATTGGGTTCCCACAGCCCACCCCTCTGAGGCCTGACCGCAGGGCAGTCTCATGGGCCGCGACAGGTACGCACACTCCTCAGTAGCATTAAGTCCTCTGCAGGAGCACTTCAGCAGGGGCCTCTGCAGAAGAGCAACCAAGAAGCATATCTCCCCATGTTTTCACTGCCTTAAGGTCTAGCATATTTATTTCAGCTTAGGACTCGCCATGATGCCAAATTCAACTTCTGCTTGCTTCCTTTTCATATGAGGGAGGTGAAGGGGCAGCGACTGCATATCCATCAGTTAAAGGTCTCAGAAAGACATTGAAACAACAAACCGTCCCTTGAGACAAATCATCCCCCGGCGTTTTCTATCTTCTTACATTTCTTCTGAAAACATGAGCTTGAAATCTGCTTTCACTTTGTTCGGTTCTATCAGCAGCTCACAGTTGTAGACCGACATGGAGCCCAAAAGAGGAGGAGATATTTCAGGAGGACTCAGTCTAATACACTAGAATCATTCATTGATGTTAACATAGGAGCTATGCCTAATATAAGTACCTATACTGTTTATGTATGGCATAGAAAGTACTTGTTCTGCAAATATATATATATATGTATAGTCGAACAAAAGTGTCCTTGTTTTTTATGTCAATATAATACCTACCATATGCATACAATTAATCTTACATTTGCAACCCACAGATTTGTAGCGAATGGTTGTTTGCTCTCCAGCTTTACAAATGGAGCTTGGCAGCAGAGAAGCACGGCTCGATCAAACCCAGAGCCAAAGCAAACTAACGGCTGGCTGAACAATGCTCTGTAATCCATAGATGTCACAGAGTGCTTGAGGAAAAAGCCTTTCGTATCACTGCTTGAGGAGTCATTTCACAATAATATAGATCAGAGAAAGGTGGTAATGTAATGTCACTTAAATGGGAAACTTGTCACATGTCAGGATGAACTCACCCTTGGGCCTCTCTTCCCTGGCTTTCCTTGCATCCCTGGAAGTCCTTGAAGGCCCTAAAAAGCACAAGAAAATGTGTCAAGGCTAAAGTGACAAAAGTACAAAGGAGCAAATAAGAGTTGCTGCCCTTTTCTAATTGAGCCTGGAACAGCCTTGGAAGTAAAAGAGAGTTCTAAGGGTAAATGAAATCTTTAAGTGAATACATGTTAAGCTTCTTCCAATGGACATGCTGGCAGGCATGGGGATGTCCTGTTAAAGCAGTCCTTGTCCCTTTGCAGCCAAATTATTAGAGCCCCAAACCGCGACAGCAAACAAACTTTAAGTCTGACGCATTACACTGGCAGAGAGGTCAGCACTGGTTCCAGCCAATAACAATAATGATGGGTATCAGCTAGCTTTAAAACAATTTCATACATGGATTGGCAACGCTCTGAAAGTTCAAATCTAATGAGGGGTCATTCTGAATAGTTTGACATGTTTGATTGTTACTTATTTTCCCATGGCTCCAGAAGGTTCGAGAAAGAGAAAAAGAAAATGGTCTTAAATAACAGCTCAAGGCAGTCCAGCTGAAACTGGGCTTCTGTTATAATGTCAAATATATAGAGCACTTGTGTCTGACTTGGGCAGGACCTACAGCTATAAATATGCTCCCTCCGACAGCATGCACTCTGAAAAGCCAAAAAGCTCTCAGCAACCTTTACATTTTTCAGACTGTAACCATCAGGCTGTCCACACATCATGAGCTGTTTGTGCTGCAGTCCCTGCTGGAGGGGAGGGTCGACAAGAAGTCACGTCTTTAAAGAACCTACTTTATATCAATAACTATAGGTTCAAGTTGTAATTGGAGATTTTTTCGGCACAAATACCTAGAAACGAGATTAAAGATCGAATTATTTGAATGCAGGAAAAAGGTAAAGTCCAAGTGGTCCACAACTTTCAGAATAACTCTTCTGCAAACTGACTTTTCCACTCACAAAACACATCCTCACATTAGGCTATTTGAAGAAACAAAGTATTTAACCAATAGCATTATTGTAGCAATACAACCCTGCTCTCTTTTAGCCACATTGAAGCCTGTATTAAAAGCCTGTATAGTGTATACCTTACTGCTTGAGGCTGTGTGTCACATTAAGGTAGGGTAACATGAGGACTTGGATTGCTGTGGAACTCAAAAGAAGCCGTCCATGACTGAATAATGTAAAAATGACACAGAAACTGAATTTACTCGTAGATTGGTCAGCGACACGTGGTTTACAGATTGGGTCACTAAGATTAGTATTGGTGAAGTTATGATCCAGCTATCATATCCTCTGCATCCCTTCACAATAGATCATGCTGCTGAGTTACCGGTCATCAATGATGACCCTCCCCTTCTTCTGCAGTAAGGCCTGTTTTATCAGCACTGGCATGCTGTTGTGTTTGTGCAGCTTAACTGCTTGTGTAAGCCGCTGAAAGTGATGGCTTCTTTAACAGACCATCGCCCACTAATATCAATGCCAATCCCAAGGAGGGGGTCAAACCTCAACAATGGGCCTGTAGCTCACTAAAGTGATCCTAAAGACAATGTTATAAAATGGCCTGAAATTATTCAGAATCCATACCTGACTCAGCAATCAGTTTAGACATTATACTAAAAACTTAAACAAGCAATGAAAAGTAAGCTTCACCACGCACCAGGGACTGGCGGGCATTGATTACAGTACTTCTCTCTTGTAAAAAAAACGACTTTTAGGGGCATGCAGAGGTGCATGCTGTGGTTTCTCTGGTTGCCAAAGCAGCAGAGCTTTACTTGAAACATTCTTGTTGGTTAAACATGACCGAAGACAGAGAGGTCCTTTTAACAATGGAAAATATTGCTAACCATTTTGTGCTCAACTGAGGATTAGTGCCAGAAAAGACAACATGGTCAATATGGGGAGGCTGTGGCTCAGTGGTTAGTGTGATGGACTTCAAATCAGGGGGCACCGAGTTCAAGTCCCACTGCTGTCAGCATGACGTTGTGTCCCTGGGCAAGACACATCACCCCAAATTGCTCCTGTGGGGATTGTCCACAGTACTCAATGCAGTGTTTCCCCTACCATTGTCTTGGAGGGGTGCTGCGCCCCGCCAACGGAGCCCCGCGCCCCTCCTGAAATTCAAGGTGTTCAAAAAAAAAGAAATTATAATTTTTTTTTTTTATACATAATTTTTTTTTTATATATATATATAGCACCAAATTGCAACTAATCTATATCTACTGTCACTTTTCACATTGAACATGTGCTCTTTTATTAAATAAACTAAACACTTTCATTTTAAGTTGTGAGTTTAGTGTTTTTGACCTAACAAACACTGATACATTAATCAATAACAATAATCCACAGCTCCTCTCTCTGCTCCAGAGGATTTAAAAAATATATCCCAATGTCGGGATTATACATTTGGTTCAACTTTCTTTTAAAAAATCAATATTTCAAAAGGGAAAAAAGACTGTGGTTGTAGTCATGCTAACAGGTCTGTAGTGCTTAAAATGGGAAACATACTACAGTTCTCAGAAGTGCTGATAAAGCACTGCATGTATATTGTATAGCCCTTTATATGCTTACTCTAAATCTTTGACCCTACTTTAAAGAGTATTCCTTCTCTGAGCTGTCACACTCCCTCTCAGAGGAATCTAACACCTCACTGCCAGCCCCTCTGCTCAGACTCGCTGCTTTGAACCTGACTATTTCTATGACTGCTGCTAAAAAGCATATTAAACATGTACAGTGTATGAAACAACTGAACGGTGAAAAGTCTTTAACATCACATGCAAGCCAAAAAAAAACGTAGGAAAGAGAACCCATATATGAACATTAATAAGTCAACATTATAAAAAAAAGCAATGCTTGATGAATGGTTATTTCACAAAACCACACGTAAGAGGCATGTCAGCTTCCACGTCAGCAGCCGTTCCGGACGTCAAAGAAGGCAAACTGACATTTAAATAACAAGCTGTCAAACTGGTTTATCATTAGGATTTAATTATGTATTAGGAAATATAACCAACGGAGACATATGGCAGCTGAGCTTAATGATGCAGTTATGATTCATATCATGCCATATATCATGAGTAATGAATGTATAAAATAAGGTAAACCAATATCTCTGCGATGCATGCACAAAGAAGCACTTATTGTGGCTTAATAGTATGGATGGACGATATGGCCAAAAATGTTTATCATCCAAATGAAGTAGAACAAGAAGAAAACGTATTCAAAACGAGCTATTCAATACATCTTATACATGTATCATTGTTGCTGTAGAAGATTTTATCGTAATTGTTTTCTAGATTTGACCGCCCAGCCCTACTTAAAGGTTTGATATGTACAGTATATACCCATGCATGTGTTTCAGGGGCAGGTGTGTGTTGTGGTGGACACTCACCGGTGGTCCTGGTTCCCCCTTCAGTCCAGGTGGTCCAGCCAGCAGCGAGAATTGGGTCGGGTCCAGGTCAAATGTTTGGAAGCCATCTGTTGCAGCTGGAGTGACTGGAATAAGTGAGGTGGGTTTGACATCCTGCAGACTGGGCACTTTTGGCTCAGATTTCTCTGGAGCTACGGTTGTCTTATGCTTTATTGGATGAAGGTCGCCATTTGACGGAGAATCCTGCCTGACAGCAGCTGTGGTGTGGAGGTTTGGCCTCATCTCCGATGGTCGGATAGAGGCAGGTAAATCCATTCTTTCTCCAGGAGGTTCCTGAGAATTAGTATCTCCTTGCTTTGTTTTATTTCCGGCACTGCCACGGGAGGTTGGTTTTGGGTTTGGTGGTGTCAAACTGGTCCTAAGAGGTGTAGAAGAGGTTTGAGTCGGAAAATGATACTGACTTTCCAACCCTGGATGAGGCGGCAGAGATACAGACACGGCGACAGGGTTAGGTGTGTTTGCAGTCTGATTCACAGATGATTTGTTCAGCATCAGAAAGCGGTCTATTGGACCAAAAATCTTAGTCCTGGTGCTTTCCTCGGTCAAGGCCAAAGTAGGACTCGGAGCATTTTTGGATTTCTCCGTCACTGACAGAGGAGTTATACGAGTGACAGTAATATTTGGATCCGAGGAAATGAGAGGTAAGAGGGGTTCAAACACGGGCCGATATGTGTCGGCTTCTCTGCAATGTTTCTTAATGTAATCACAATAGTTATGAGCTGCCTCAGCAGAGGGATAAATGTCAAACTGACAGATGGCGCCTTCAAACGGCACCGAGTTGTGGTTCATTTTGCCCAGCAGGAAAGAGCCCTCTGCGTCTAGAGCCTCCTCTTTTTTCGAACGCAAATCTGCCTGTACACTTCTCTTTCCACAAGAAGTGTATAAGAACACCTGCTGGCCTTGGATATCCAAAGCCAGGCTGTGCCACTGGCCATCGTGGACATCATAGTCGAAGCTCACAGAGCTCCTCGGCCCGACGTGTACCAGGACCTTCCCCGGGACGAACTGCAGTCCAAGCTGAACTTTCCTTTTCTTCGACAGAACTGAGAAGAGGAAGGCACTGTTGACGCGATGAACAGACAGGCTGAGAATCAGCGAGAGATTGGTGGAGCTGTAGGAAGCTGGGATAACAGTGCGCAGAGGCACCTGGATACGTGCTCTCGGGGTGAGGATAACTCCAGACTTGAAGGGGATGATGCCATTAGGAATGGATCGAGCGTCTGAGGATGACGACACACCTGATCTCCGCCCAGAAAGACCGAGCTGCTGCAGAACATCCACATCTTCAAGAAACAAGAGAGACGTCAGTGATTCTTTGAATACTTAAAACACCAAACGATGCTGAACAACAACTTTACACAAGATCAGGATTTCTATACTACAAGAAGAACATGTCATTGTCGTTTACATGCACCATTTCCAAGCTTTTTCCCCCTTAATAACTTTCTACTTTAACTCTTTGGTAATGTTACAAACCCCAGAGGGTTTTACACAAGGGTATAAAAAGAAAACCATAACATAGAAATGTTAAATTAATTGCATCACACTCTATGTGCAATTAATAAGCAGATTTTTAAGGAGATAGCACATCACTTCAAGACACACACTAATTAACAACCTCCCATCTAAGAGCACTGATCTGCATAAAGAGCACAAACAGAAAAAACTAAAGTGCAGTATTATAAGTAATAATTATGATGTGATGCCAAGCTGGGAGTGAGTTCACAAGTTTAAGGTTAGACTAATGGAAATCCTGCAGTGAAAGCAATTTAAGAAACTGCCGCATTGAATTTCCGATAGGGCCACACATCAACATCCAGTTTTGGATATTGCCACAAATGATGTAATCGTTCCATCAGTCTTCATTAGCGCGATGTCAGAAAACACAGGCTGAACGCGTCCCTGGAGAGGAGAGTCTGGGTTTGAGGAGGTGTTTAGTGCAGACAGAAAAACCATCCAGACTTTATCCTGTGATATCTTTTGATTATAGATGATGGCTCTGACAGGGGCCTGAGCTCATTCAATGTACTGCAGTGTTTTCTGCACTTTTTAATTGCTACTTGCATCTCATGGGAGGAACATGTGGCTTATTTTCACACATTACAGTCTTGTGTGAAATATATATTGCTTCTAATTGGATCCACAGTTTTGTGGAAGGGTTTAATCAAATCCACATTTCACTGTAGCCATCCTTTATTTCAAGATTATTCTTTAGGAAAAACGTCGTATTCTTCCGCCTTAATCAAACTTGTGTAGTATGTGTAGAGAAAGAATAGGTTTTGATACAGAATTTGCACTATTTAGTATTTCAATAGAAGTTAAAAGTAGTGATAAAAGGCATGTTATTGTCTTTCGCAACTTCTAAACAAAGCATGGTGGTCCTAAACCCAAAACCCAGAACCGCTGATACAACACCACCAAGGTTATGCTAATAAAAGCAAGGGTATTACTTTTGCAAGCAAAACATTAAGCATGCTTAGAAAGTCAATTCCGCTTTTGGTTTAAACATCAAAATAGAGTGATTCCATTATCATACTGGTGTCTTTTGTTAGGCAGCAGTACAGGTCATGGGGAAATGTCAAACAAAAGCTTTGTTTAGTTAACTAAGGTTGGAATAAAGGAAGATTTGATCAGCCTGGTCATTCAGTATGTCCTGAATACAGTACATTAATCCTCTCAGTATGTGCAATGTCAAAACTAAAAGCCTACATAGCTCAAATATCCGTCCTCTTGCAGGCTAATACAAAACAAATGTGGGCAAGACTGGAATAGACTGCTAAAAGATTCATTACAACCCAGCAGAGCAGTAACAAGTATAGAGTGTAGACATGTTAGGAAGGGAAACCCTGCTCAGTGTGTGCAGGCAGTGGGAGGTCCGCTCAATTGAAAAACCCACACATGGAAGAAAAACATCAAATAGAAACTGAAAAAAAGAAGAGATTTTCTTCAGCTGAATTCATAGCACTCATTTGAATTGTTAATATGGTATGAAGAAAGCTAAATTGTTCTTTCATTGTGTGATTTTGAACTACTTTCAGGGCTTAGCAGCATATCTAAGTCTTAGCGGGTAGACCGGTTGCCTAAGGCGCTTTATGAACTCCTGATGAGCTGGGGATACAAATCTAACAACTGAAAATAAGAGACAAAGCACTGCCAGAGAACAAGAAGCAGAAAACACAACTGTTCTCAGAAAGGAAGAAGAGGCTCATGTATTTCCAATATGAGTATGCCTTTTTCTTTAAATTATTATTATTATTTTAATGTTTTTCTTCTCTTGTGTCAGTCATCCACATCAATCAGAAGTGCTGTGCTCCACATGTACTATCCATTGTTAACCAATCAGAAGTGGCCCATGATAGAAGGTGAAAGACAGACAGATTGATCCAATCACCTGACGTATTGTTACTATTCAAACAAAATCAATTGATTCCCTATACGTATTATTCCTTAGTAATACGTATTTCTGTTTATCGGGACATTACGTTAGTGACTACATTCTTTACCCGCTACAGGGTAACCGAGGTGCAAAAAAAGTTTTGTTTATAGTACCGTAAACTAACAATCACTCTGTTGGAACCTGGCCCACCAGTCGTAAAACATTACTAGGCGACGTCATCTAGTTGTCTACACGGACTCAGTTCTGGCCGGCCTGTGAGTGGAGGGACAAGAACTCTTTTTCTTCCTTCCTCGTCTCAAGAACTTATCCGTAACACAACCCTACATAAGATGCAAGAGAGAACTTCACAAGTCTTATCCCGACAGTGCTAAAGCTACCCTTTTTTTAGATTAACGCTTACAAAAGACTCGTTTTATACCGCTAACGCTAAGCTAACGCTATAAACAAAAAGTTCAGCTGGGTTGCCTTCAAATAACATTTACCCCCCGGTATAGAGGCCGATCTCCAGCCGGTAGTCGTACGAGGGCGAGAGATCCGGTGGCCGGGGTCGTCGGGGCTCGATGGCTCACTTTCTTGATTTGAATGTACTTTGAAGGCAACCCCAACAGAAATTCAGTTCGAGTCAAATTCTTAAGTGGGACATCTATCTTACATTTTGTACACTACCTCGTAATGAACTTCGGACTGAGTCTTACCAAAACAAGTGGTTTGGTAGATTCCTTTTGAGGTTAACCTTCCCGCGCTAAACTTTCCGTCGCGTGAAAGTT